GATTTTCTATTTCTTCATGGTTCAGTTGTGATAGGTTGTATGTTTCTAGGAATTTATCTGTTTCTTCTAGGTAACCCCGTTTGTTAGCATATGAATGTTCACAGTGGTCTCTTTGATCCTTATTCTATTTTTGCATTGTAATATCTTCTCTTTCATTTATGATTTTATTTATTTGAGTCTTCTCTCGCTTTTTCTTACTCTTCTTTTTCTAGTTCTAGGAGTTGTTATTTGAGGTTGTTCTTTTTTTCTTAATGTAACCATTTAATTGGAACTGCTTTTGTTGAATCCTGTAAGTTTTGGTATGTTGCATTTCCATTTTTGTTTGTTTCAAGAAGGTTTTTGTTTGTTTTTTTTAAGTTTACTTATTTATTTAAGTAATCTCTACACCCAGTGTGGGCTCAAACTCATGACCGGGAGGTCAAGAGTCACATGCTGTACTGACTGAGCCAGCCAGGCATCCCTGTTTCAAGATATTTCTTGATTTTCCTTTTAGTTTCTTCGACACATTGGTTGTTTAGGAGTATTGTTTAATTTCCATATATTTGTTAATTTTCCAACTTTCCCACTTTTACTGACTTCTAGTTTCATACTATTATGGTTGGAAGAGATACTTGATTTGACTTCAGTCTTCTTAAATTTTGTGAAGACTTGATCTGTGACCTAATATTTGACCTATCCAGGAGAATGTTTCATCTGCACTTGAGAAGAGTGTGTGTTCTATTGCTATTGGATGGAGTATTCTGTAGGTGTCTGTTAGGTCCATCTGGTCTAAAGTGTAGTTCAAGTCCAGTATTTCATTTTGATTTTCTATCTGGATGATCTATTCACGTTTGAAACGGAGGATTGACACCCCCTACTATTGTTGCATTGCTGCCTATTTCTGCCTTCACATATGTTACTATTTGCTTAATATATTTAGGTGCTGTGATGTTGAATGCATATATATATATACAGTCATTATATCTTCTTTTTTTTTTTAAAGATTTTATTTATTTATTTGACAGAGAGAGACACAGCGAGAGAGGGAACACAAGCAGGGGGAATGGGAGAGGAAGAAGCAGACCTCCCGCTGAGCAGGGAGCCCGATGTGGGACTCGATCCCAGGACCCTGGGATCATGATCCGGGTCAAAGGCAGATGCTTAAAGACTGAGCCACCCAGGCGCCCCTCATTATATCTTCTTGATGAATGACCCCTTTATCATTATACAATGGCCTTCTTTTTACTTAGAAGTCTATTTTGTCTGATGTAAGTATAACTACTCTGCTCTTTTAGTTTCCATTTGCATGGAATATCTTTTTCCATCTCTTCACTTGTGGCTTATATGTGTCCTTAAGGCTTAAGTGAGTGAGTAGGCAGCATCTATTGGGTCTTTTTTTTTTTTTTTAAATCCATTTTGTCACTCTGTTCCTTTTGATTGGATAATCTAATCCATGTACATTTGCAGTAATTATTGATAGGTAAGGACTTATTATTGCCATCTTGTTTTCTTTCTCTTTCTTTCTTTCTTTTTTTTTTTTTTTGTAGTTCTATTATACCTTTCTTCCTCTCCTGCTGCCCTCCTTTGTGAATGGATGGTTTTAGTATAGTGGTATGCTTTGATTCCTTTCTTTTTCTTTTTTGTATCTACTATAGTTTTTTTCTTTGTGATTACCATAAGGTTTATATGATATACTTGTAACCATCTTTATACTTATAACTGTCTCTTTTAAGCTAATAACAACTTAAACTTTGATTGCATACAAAAACTGCCCTTTTTATTTTTTGCTGTCACAATTTACCTCTTTCTCTTTGTGTATCTGTTAACAAATTATTGTAGCCATTGTTATTTTTAACTGGGTACCAAGGCATCTAGGCCACCCAGAAAGTCAGGCCACCCAGAAAGTCAGTCTTGGTGCTTCATGGGGAAATTGGTGCACATGAAGCAGCGCCTGACTGTTTTCATAGGCAAATCACCCTGGGATCTATCTTACTTGTTAGATAACCAGCATTCTGTAACAAAAGTTGCCCATTATCAACCACCTCAAGTGCCTCTGTTGCTCATGTTGAGCTTGCAGAACTGACTGAGTTATTGTTGGGTTCCTGGAATTGGGACTGTTTGGCAGTCCCCAGACTGACAGAAACTGCCTCAGTACTTGGCTATCCCCTTGCCAAGCTGGGAACCCCCTAGCTTTGATGGGGGCGGGTTAAGGTCCGAGTTAGCTTAAGGCAGCTCTGCTCTGGTAGAACATTTCCAGTGTCTGTGTATTTCAACTTTCGTCAGAACAAGGGTGAAAGATCGGGGTCTGTGCCCTTCAAGAGAAATATAATGTCAGCCATACGTGTAGTTTAAACATTTTCTGATCACTGTATTTAGAAAAGTAACAAGACCAAGAGAGATGAAAACGTAGGTCTCCACAAAATCTTGCGCATGACTGTTCATAGCAGCATTACTCAAAATGGCCAAAATATGGAAAAAAGTCACATGTTTACCAAATGATGAACAGATAAACAAAATGTGATCTATCCAGACAAGGGAATATTGTTTGGCAATAAAAAGAAATGAAGTACTGACATCTGCTATACCATGGATGAACTGTGAAAACATGCTGAGTGAAAGGAGCGAGACACAAAAGACCCTGTATTGTATGATTTCACTTCTATGAAATGTCCAGAACAGGCAAATCCACAGAGACAGGAAGTAGAATAGTTGTGCCAAGGGCTGAGGGAATGAGGAAATGGGGAGTGACTGCTAATGAATACCTGGTTTCTTTTTGAAGTGATGAAAATGTTCTAAAATTGATTGTGGTAATGGTTGTACAGCTTTGTGAATGTACTAAAAATGAGTGAGTCACACACTTTTTAAAAAGTTTTTTAAAAAATATATTTATTTATTTATTTGAGAGACAGAGCAAGAGCGGGAGTGGGGGGGAAGAGCAGAGGGAGAGGGAGAAGCAGACTCCCCGCTGAGCAGGGAGCCCGATGATCCCCGGGATCATGGCCTGAATCTAAGTCAGATGCTTAACTGACTGAGCCACCCTGGCGCCCCTCAGTTATTTAAGTAAGCTCTACACCCAATGTGGGGATCGAACTCATGACTCCAAGATCAAGAGTCATATACTCCTCTAAGCCAGCCAGGTGCCCCAAGTTACACACTTTAAATGGATGAATTATATGGTATGTGAATTATAGATCAACAAAAACAGTTTAAAAAGAGAAAAAAGAGGGGTACCTGGCTGACTCAGGTGGAGGAGTGTGACTCTTGATCTCAGGGCCAGGAGTTTGAGCCCCACGTGGGGTTTTGAGATTACTTAAATAAAAAAAGAAACTTAAAAAAAATAAAAAATAAAAGGAAAAAAAGAAACAGGTAAATTTTACTAATATATTTAACTCAGAATGTCCACAATAGTATTTAAAGACGTAATCAATGTAAACCATGATCAATGAGAGATTTTACATTCTTTTTTTTTTGTAACTGATCTTTGAAATTTGGTGTGTGTTTTATAGTTATGGCCCACCACTTTGGCCACATAACAAGGGCTCAGTAGCCACCTTCAGTCAGTGGCTTCCATATTGGAAGGTGCAAATCTTGGTAGTTCTTATCTTCCTGCCAGCAAAAGTCTCTCTGTCTTCCTGCCCCTCTTCGTTTACAAATCCAAACACGCCTGGGTTCAAATCACTTTTTGCCATTTACTAGGAGTACAACTTTGAGCCTGTTACTTAACCTTTCTAAATGAGTTTTCCTTTCTATGAAATGGGCACAGTTAAAGAGGGATTGAGGTCAGGGTTAATTGAGATAATCAGTATAAAGTTATAGAATGATGCTTGGCTTACAGGATTCAATCAATGTTCGTTGTTATTTTTTTCCTGACCTCGCAAGGCAGGACAGCCTGTGTACTCAGGTGAGAAAGACTTGGGACTGGAGAACTTGGGCTCAAACCCTGGTCCTGTCACATACAAGCTGGCTTGTGCAGGAGCTTGTTATGTCTGTAGACTGGCCACACCCACAGCCCCCTTGGAGGTTCTTTTCTCGCAGTTACCCCACTTTGCACCTTAGGACCCAGGATGCAGCTGATTGGACAGGAGTGGACACCCACCTTAAGGGTAGACAACATCTAGGCTGGTTGGAGGACTGTGAGGCAGCCCCATGTGAGAAATCCAACCCACAGGGAGACTGGGGACCAGCTGAACAGTTCTGATCCTTTCTTTTGATGAATTTTGTTGCTGTTGTTGTTGTTCTATTCTTTTAAATTTACATTTTGTTAGTTAACATTTTGTTAGTGCAATATTGGTTTCTGGAGTAGACTTCAGTGATTCATCACTTCCTTACAACACCCAGTGCTCATCACAACAAGTGCCCTCTTTAATGCCCACCACCTATCTAGCCCATCCCCCCACTCACTTCCCTCCATCAACCCTCAGTTTGTTTTATTGTTAAGAGTCACTTATGGTTTGTTTCCCCCCTCTCCTTTTTCTCTTTTCCCCCTTCCCGTATGTTCATCTGTTTTCTTTCTTAAATTCCACATATGAGTGAAATCATATGGTATTTGTCTTTCTCTGACTGACTTACTTCACTTAGCATAATACACTCTAGTTCCATCCATGTCATTGCAAACAGCAAGATTTCATTCTTTTTGATGGCTGAGTAATATTCCAATGTATATATATACACCACACCTTTTTAAAAAAAATTATTTTAGGGGAGAGGCAGAGGGAGAGAGAGAATCCTCAAGCAGACTCCCCACTGAGTACAGAGCCTGATGCGGGGCTCGTTCTCAGAACCCTGAGATCATGACCTGAGCCAAAATCAAGAGTTGGACTCCAACGGAGCGACCCAGGTGCCCGTATACCTCATCTTCTTTTTTTTTTTTTTTAAAGATTTTATTTATTTATTTGACAGAGAGATACACAGTGAGAGAGGGAACACAAGCAGGGGGAGTGGGAGAGGGAGAAGCAAGGGGAGTGGGAGAGGGAGAAGCAGGCTTCCCGCTGAGCAGGGAGCCCGATGCGGGGCTCGATCCCAGGACCCTGGGATCATGACCTGAGCCGAAGGCAGACGCTTAACCATCTGAGCCACCCAGGCGCCCCTACCTCATCTTCTTTATTCATTCATCAGTCGATGGATATTTGGGCTCTCTCCATAGTTTGGCTCTTGTTGATAATGCTGATGTAAACATCGGGGTACATGTATCCCTTCGAATCCGAATTTTTGTATCCTTTGGGTAAATACCTAGTAGGGCAATTGCTGGATCGTAGGGTAATTCTATTTTTTAACTTTTTGAGGAATCTCCATACTGTTGTCCAGAGTGGCCACAGCAGTTTGCATTCCCACCAACAGTTCTTTTGCTGAATTTGAGTATGAGACGTAGAGGAAAGTTTAGTGTCGATACTGGGGACAGAAGCAGCAAGACATGGAGAAGGAAAGTTCTAAGAAGCCTTAAGTCAACATAAGCTATGGGTGAGGAGGAGCCATGAATTAGCAGGAACTCTGAATCAGCAGAAATTGAGACAGAGAGCAGAGTGGGGACAGCAGAGGAATAGGCCAAGACCCAGAGGTGCTGAGTCACCAGGATAGTGGAGCCCCAGCTTAGGGGCCTGGGATGCCCCGATGACGGGTATCCAGGAGTGTTGCCGCTGAGTTGCAGAGCTGCGTGCATCCGGTGACTAGAGCTACTGCTGCTGTTCGAGCCTCTAGGAGGTTGGGTGGCTAAGACTTCGGTCTTCCCAGTCTTCTAATGAAACCTGAGAATGTTTCTCTTCTTTGCAAGAACCTGACTGACGACACCAGCCACCTCAAAACTCCTCTGAGACTGTTGGGAAATAGGGACAGCTGTGGCCTTTGGGTTCAGCATCCTTCCTTGGGGGCAGTGACCTTTATCTGACACTTTGCAGTTCTGGGCCTGCCAGTCATGGGACTTCACCTTCCAGCTGGCCACATAATCTAGGCTGGCCTGGACAGTCGCCATTGCAGGGATGTGTTTCTCATGTAGAGACACCTCCAGGGAATCTTGAGAGAGCCCCTGGGTGCCGCTGGCTGGGATCTTCCTGTTTTCCAAGGCCTGTTTATTTAGCTCTTATGTTCTGGGACTTCCCAAATGGCCTCTACAAATCCCCTTTCCTTTTTAAAGTAATAATGCTAACTGGACACACACCTTGGAGGGTTGTTTTCAAGTGAAACAAGTGACTCCTGGACAGATTCGCCTTCCTGCCCCTGGTCACTCCCTCTGCAGCCCTTTCCTGTTCCACCTGACCTGTCTGCACTCCCTACCTAACATACCCGAAATAGCCCAGTGTTTTTTTCCCTTCGAAGGAGGATTCTTTTTTTTTTTTTTTTAAGATTTTATTTATTTATTTGACAGAGAGAGAGACAGCAACAGAGGGAGCACAAGTAGGGGGAGTGGGAGAGGGAGAAGCAGGCTTCCCGCCCAGCAGGGAGCCCGTTACATAACGGGACTCTATCCCAGGACCCTGGGATCATGACCTGAGCTGAAGGCAGACGCTTAACGACTGAGCCACCCAGGCGCCCCCAAAGGAGGATTCTAAGCCTAAACCAGCCCCCAGTTTACCATAGGCTTTGCCAAGTCCTTGCCCAGCGCCTTTTCAGGCTTCCGTTTCTCTTCATAACAGTAAGCATATGTGAGGACTCTTTAGGATCTAAATCAGACGGGGCTCCTCTCTGCAGTACCACAGTACTCCCTATAGGTGGCAGCACGTCACCGCAAATGTCCCGGAATGTTGAACGCTCAGGTGCTCAAGGGCAACCAGGAGAGGGCGTGGGAGATGCTGGGGGTATAGCACTTGCTAGCCACGGAGGAGAGGAGGTAGGCGGTAGGAGGAAGGAAAGTGGACTCTCACTGGCCTTGAGACAAAAGAGAGTCGAGGTCTGGAGGGCAGGAGTAGTTGGTGTACCCAGTCTATCCCCCCATCTGTCCATCCATCCATCCAACAAATATTTTTGAGCCCCTGTGCCAGGCTCTGGAGATGGTGCAATGAATAAGACGGACACCTGTAGTCCCTCTCCTCACGAAGCTGGCACTCCACTGCAAATATCCCCCCCACCCCCAGCCCCCAACAGCCCTCATGTAGCACACCTGTGCCTTCTGGCTTGTTTCCTCACCTGTAAAATGGGATAGTAAACCATGTACCTCTCAGGTCCATGGTGAGGCTTAGGTTCTAGTGCCCAGTCTGTGTTTCTACCCTGGCCCTCAGTCCCACCTCTCCCTTCACAGGAACTGAAAACTGCTGAACGCTGCAGTCATCCAGGCGAGGGCTCAGTGTCCTCTCTGTATCCAAGGGAAGCACCGGCCGGCCCACCCTTCTGCAAAGTCTAGGTAAGCCTTGAAACTGAAGGAAACCCCAGGCCTGTGAGAAACCCCAGAAACATCAGAGGTTTGAATTTGGTGGTTTGTATCTATTTTAGGTTTTGGTGAAGAAACATTTCTAAGGAAAGAAGTTGGAGACATTATTCTACTGATATATATCATCCATGGTGATATACATATACATGTATACACACCCATATATATGCACACTGATATATATTATATACACACACATGCTGATATTTATCATACATGCTGATACATATATACATGTATACACATTCGTGTATATATACACACACTGATGTATACACACACGCAATGTTGTATATCACATATGCTGAGATACATGTATATGTATACATACACATGTGCACATATACTCCGATATGTATATATATATACATACACGCTGATATGCTGATATTCATATACAGATATACATATGTGTATACACAAATACACATTGGTATATGTAATATACACATATGTACTGATATCTATATACATACATCTATGCTGATATATACATATATATATACACATATACTCATTGGTATATATCATGCATACTGATATGTATCAGATACATATCACATGCTGATATGTATCATATATAATATACATGTATATGCATATACACACATATGTACTGATATATATCATACATACTGACAGACATGCACACACATATTCACACTGATGTATATCATATATATACACACACATACATATGAGAATAATTGATAGGACCTTTTACTAAATGTCAAGGTTGCTTTTATCCTTCTAGATGATTGTAAAGACTTTGGCCTATCTGTTGTGCATTTCTAGCGTTTCTAATATTATTACTCTATTTCTGTTGTTACCATATCCTGCCCCTTTACTTTTTAATGTAAACCAGATGTCATCTGGGGAACTTTTTGTGCCTTGTGATCTCAAAAAGTTTTCCCTGAAGGTCCCTTCTCCTGCCCCCACCTCTATCCCATTTCTGAGAAGGTCTCCGGGGCCTCTGTAGGATTTCTGCTAACTCCTGGCTTTTTGTGCCCCTGGGGCTCTGTCTCCTAGTGGGCTGCCTCTGACATGCAGCAAATCACATTTTTTTTATTATTATGTTATGTTAATCACCATACATTACAGCAAATCACATTCTTAAAAAAAATTTTTTTTTTTAAAGATTTTATTTATTTATTTGCCAGAGAGAGAGAGTGGGAGAGGACAAGCAGGGGGAGTGGCAGGCAGAGGGAGAAGCAGGCTCCCCGCTAAGCAAGGAGCCTGATGCGGGACTCGATCCCAGGACCCTGAGATCATGACCTGAGCCGAAGGCAGATGCTTAACCATCTGAGCCACCCAGGTGCTCCCCCCCACCCAATTTTTTTTTTAACAGCAACAACAACCACAAAAACTTTATTCACACAATTCACACTAGGCTTCTGTTAGTCTAATGGACTCTAAGGAGGCTTGTGGGGAGTGTCCTGGGAGGGATCACATGTCAGATCACCTGATGCCCTCATACTCCCCGTTGCTCATAGCTTTGCCCACCATCTCTCACCTCCCATTTGCTGATTTGCCCCAGGCACACCACGTCCTTCTCCATCCGTTCTGCCAGTCCTATCCCTGGAGGACGGGGATTCTTTGAAGCTCGGGTGTCAGCTGGCAGCAAGCCCCCTGGAAACTCACGTGGGGTGATTAAATGCACATGCTCTGTAGTCAGATGTTTGAACTGAGAAAGAGGGAAAGTGCGGGAGAAAGAACATCAAGAGTTGGCTTTGATCACTTTGAGTTTATGATACCAAGTCAAACCTCCACAGGCCTAGGTCTGGCATTTAGGGGAGAGGACAGGGCATGTGGCGGGTCCAGATTCAGGAGTCTGTTATCACGATTAGCCTGTATCTGCAGCCTTGAGAAAAGATTCGTCTCTTAGAAAGCTAGTGCCCTCTGACCTCCAGGCCCTCCTAGCACATGGCTTATCTGTAAGCCCCCTCCTCTCATTGCTTGGCCAGCCCCAAGCCTCCTGTGGAAGGCTTTCTGCATCCACCTGGGCTGGATTAGGTGTCTTTGTTGACTCACAAGAGGTCCAAGACCTCAGACAAATGTACTTTCTTTTCTTAGCCACCTCTGAGGCAGGGCTGCTTGAAGACCAAGCATCTCAATGATCACTTTGCTTCTCTTCTTCTCAGTTAATTGACTTAGATCTTGTGCTAAGGGATGCTGCCTGTGGGTCCTGGAGCCTGCTAGGAACAAGGCAGAGTGGGGCAGGTAAAGACTCTTTCTCTTTGCCTGGCATGTAAAATCAGGAAATCTAGGAATTATGTGGTCTGACTTGGGGCCTGTTGGAGTATCAAGACCCAGCTGTGAATGCAGAGTAGTGGTTTGAAAGGGCAGGCACAGAGAGGTGAAGTGACTTGCCTGAGGCCACACAGCTTACTGGGTCAGAGCTGAGATTTGAACCCCGGGCGTGGCTGACTTGGCACTGGGTTCTTTTCAGTATAGGATTCGTCCAGCCTCACATACCTATTCTAGAAGAAGGGAAGTGGTGAGGTAGGTGTGTGCTACGGGAGAGGAGCTTATTGGCTAGGACTGCAAGCTGGTGCTGGATCCCACGGGACCTTGGGGTGAGGAACTGGCAGGGGACACCCTGAACTTGAGATGCAGACCCAAGATCCCAGGAGAGAGGAGCTGACAATGAGAAGGCCCTGGTCAGGGGCACTCATCTGTGGGCCTGTATAAAGGGGTGCAGGGGATAAGTGGGAGAAGGGAAGTGGCACTCAGTCGGGACCACAGGAAGTTCCAGATTTTGGTTTGGAGTTGGAAAGTACCAGCAGTTCCTATTTCAACTGAAAACCAGAAGGAGATAAAGTTTTTTCTTTATAAAAGGAAGATGAATGCAAAATTTGCACAGGAGGCAGTGATCTACAGTCACCAAATAAATGTGGTAATCTCCAGGAGAACATCTTAAAATTCATTTGAGGTAGATCAGAGCCCAAAGCTCTTTAAAATGGGGACCTCCCAGAGGAGCCACCAGGGTACAAGAGGAAGACTTAGATGCTAGGCAAAACATAAAAAAAAAGAAAAGAAGGGGCACCTGGGTGGCTCAGTCGGTTAACTGTCCAACTCTTGGTTTTGGCTCAGGTCATGATCTCATGGGCTGTGAGCTCAAGCCCCACTTCAGACTCTGCACGCAGTGGGGAGTCTGCTTGAAGAGTCTCTCCCTCTGCCCCTCCCCCTACCTACAGTCTCTCTCTCTCTCTCTCTCTAAAATAAATAAATAAATAAATCTTAAAAAAAAAAAGAAAACCCAAACTCCAATATGAAAACAAGAAAGCCCATCACAACCATCATTATCAGCAGCAGCAGTGGCCACTGCTGGAGTGATATTCTGAGCATCCAGTGACTTCCCATTTCCTTCAGGCTCAACACCATATCTTCTCACTGGCCTAAAAGGCCCCATGCCCTCTAGCTCTGCATTGCTTCTCTGACCCTCTCACGGCTTCTTACTCTCCTCTCCCTCCTTCTTCCTGGCTGCACTGGCCCTTGGGATGGCTCCAACACACCAGGCTCCCTCCTGCCTCAAGACATTGGCCTGTGCTCTCTCTCCTCTGCCTGGAATGCTCTTCCCAGACATCCTTATGATGTCCTCCCTCACTTCCTGCAGGCTTTCTCAGAGGTCCCCTTCTCAACAAGACTGTCCCTGATGACATGTCTAAATTTGCAGTGCTCCTTCTCCTTCTTCCACTCCTGGATATCCTTATCCACTTCTGCATCTGAAAGTTTCCCCACAGAGGATGCCTGGGTGGCTCAGTCGGTTAAGCGTTTGCCTTTGGCTCAGGTCATGATCCCAGGGTGCTGGGATTGAGTCCTGCGTTGGGCTCCCTGCTCAGTGCCTGCCGCTCCCCCTGCTTGTGCTCTCTTTCTCTCTGTCTGGCAAATAAATAAAATATTAAAAATAAATAAATAAAATTTCCCCACAGGACTTCTTGCCATATTCATACCATATATTTCTGTTTCTTGTGTATCTTTCTCCACAGGAATGAAAGCTCTGTGAGGGCATGGGATTCTGGAACAGTGCCTGGCACAGAGTAGGCGCTCAGTATTTGTTCTTGAATGAGGGAGTCATGGATGAGGGTTCATGCTTCAGAGCTGTGGGCTGAAGCAACGCATCCAATATGGCTGATGTTTGGGAGTTCTGTTCTGAGAGGGTCTGGCTTTGAGGGTCCCCAGGACCCAGGGTGTGACACTCCACTCCTTGGGCAATATCTGGGACCAATACCTGATTTGTGGGGGTGTGGGGGATTTGGGGACTCAGTCTCAACCTAATAATCCCATCCCTGTGGAAATCACTGCTAACTCACTGCTAACAAGGTGAGCAGAACTGCTTCTTTAATCACTAATGAGAATATTCTAGTCCCTATAAACAAAGAGCTCACAGTTTATTCATTGTGAAGAAAGAAAGATGTGCAGAAAGAAGGGGGCACCGTCATGGAGGGAGGAATGTCAAGATGTTGAAGTTGAGTTCCTCAGAGTAATTGATTTACAATGCTCCCGGTCAAGGAAATTATATCCAATCAGGAGCTGTCTACACAATTTCCCATTAATTGTCACCAGGTGCCGTGGTAGGGTAATGAGTTTTGGGGCACAGGGGACTTGGATGTGGTGAGCCAAGAGGATCATTTTGGTATTTGATCTGAGGTAGGCTGAACTTCAGGATCCTTCTTTTTGTTAGAGAAGGCTTCTTCTTTGGCCAGAGTTGTATTGATCCAGAGGGTGCTGGACCAGGGACAATGTGGAAAGATGCAGACCTAGGATTGGGCCACCAAGCCCCCCAGGGGGCTAGAAGCTGCCTAGTTGAGGGACATATCTTGGACTCCTTACTCCTCACATAGAATCTGTGTGATTCCATCAATTTTGCCTCCAGAGCTTCTCTAGGCTCTGTCCAGTTCTCTCCACCTCCACTGCCACCATCTCCTCTCACCTGGTAACCACAGTGGCTGCCTCGTTGGCCTCTCTCCTTCTTCCCTTATTCTCCTCCTTCACACCCTAACCCTGAGAGGTTACCCTGTGAAGGTGAGATCCCCTGCTCTATACACGTTAGGGGCTCCCGGTATCTTGAGGTTAAAAGACCAAAACCCTCAGCATCATCCCGCACCGCCTGGCCCCCACCCACTTCTCAGCTTAGTCTTTCACCACTTCCTCCAGCCCAACTCAGCAACCGAGCTTCCATGCCGTTCATGACCTCATTTTTTACTTTAGGACTTTGACCTTCTTTCCTTTGCACAGAATGACCTTTCTTGTCCTTTGCCAGGCTGGCTCCTTGTCCTTTAGGTGGCAGCTCAGGTGTCTCATTGCCAGGAAGCCCTGTCTGATGCCACCCACCTTTCTGCCCCAAGGAGACGTTAGCGTGGCAGGTTGCATTTTCCGAAGATGGCGGCAACACTGTCTCTCGTCCCACAGGCTCTTCTTACAAGGTGACCTTGACATTCCTCCCACTGAGGGGGGGGGGGGGGGTGGGACTTATGTCCTGTCTCCTTGAATTTAGGTATACCTTTGTGACTGCTTCCATCCAGAGAGTACAGCAGAAGTGAATGCTTTGTGACCCCTGAGGCTGGAGTGTAATATTGCCATACACTTCTGTCTTCTCTTGGGGCCCAATCCCAGGGTGTGAGGAAGCCCATATTAACCCACATGGAGAGACTTCCTGGAGAGGTTCCTATAGGTGTTCTGGATAATAGACCACTGGAAGTCTTAGCCAACAACCTGCATTAACCAGCAGATGTGCCTGAGGATGCTTCCAGATGATTCCATAACCTAGTTGCCTAGTACCCCCAACCCTAGAATCATTTGTAATTGCTTGTTTAAAAGATACATTCTCGGGGTGCCTGGGTGGCTCAGTCGGTTAAGCTGCTGCCTTTGGCTCAGGTCATGGTCTCAGGGTCCTGGGATTGAGCCTCGCGTCTGGCTCCCTGCTCAGTGGGGAGTCTGCTTCTCTCTCTCTCTCTGCCTTTCCCCCCTGCTTGTGCTCTCTCTCTCTCTCTCTCACAAATAAATAATAAATAAAATCTTTAAAAAGATAAAATATACATTCTCCTCCTCAAAGAAGAATACAAAGCTAAAGTCCCTTTAGCCACCATCCCTACTTCCCACCCTCACTATTATGAATGTGGTTTGTATCCTTAAGGGCCTTAAAATACTTGTACATACATCTGTACGCCCTTTAGTATTGTTTTAAAAAGCCAATGATACACCATGCTTAATGCGTATTTCACAACCTGATTTTTTTACTCGGCTATGTGTTTCTGAGACCAGTCCTTGCTGATACGTATAGATCTTGTTAATTTCTCAGAGCTTCTGTATAGCATTTTATTATTTCTTATCTTTTTCCAAGCTGTTCCTATGCTGATGGACACTTAGGTTGCATCTCCTTCCTTGCTTCTGCAAACAGCACTTCAGTGAACCTACTGCATGGGCCTCCTCACGCCTACCTGCATGGTGGGATTCTGTAGGCCATCACTTCTCAGCGTGGCCGAAGATAAAACCACCTGGAAGCTTTACAATCACACCAGTGCCTCACCCTCAAAGATTCTTAATCAATCTCCTAAGATTTTAAGATTTTCTGAAATCTTGAAAGATTTCAACTGGACTGATCAGGAGGTAAACACCAGTGGTTCCAGAAGCTTCCAAGTGGTTTGAATGTGCGTCCAGGGTTGCAACCCACTGCTCCGGGGTGTACTGTGGGGGCAAAGGTGGTCAAATCGTTCTGTCGAGTGGGATGCACAAGCCCATCATTAGTAGGCACCGTCCCATGGCTTTTCCGGGCGGCTGGCCTGATTTGCATCCTCACCGGTGGTGTGTGAGCCAAGAGTGATTGTTCTCACACGAACAGATGAATACAAGTCACGGCAGCACGGGGGGGGGCAGAGCCCACCACCACTGTACCAATGGCCTCTGAGTGGCCCACACCTTGCCTACAGCCCACACACTTCTGGGCTGCAGCAGGCATGCAATGCTTCGTGTCCTTAGGTGGCAGTGTGGGACAGCTGCAAAGTTGCTGGGCTGGGGACGACAGCCTGGATTCTAGTTCAGACCTGGACTCCCCCCGCACCCCCACCCCGCCACCCCATGTGTTGTTACCCGGCACATCCCCCTGCTAAGCCCCAGCGTTCTCACCCTCGAAGGAAGGAAAGCTTTGACGCTGCCCTGTGTGAGGTTGCCCCCACTCTGCCGGGTGGGCTGCGTGGAGAGCTGTATCCAGCCAGGTGGTCAGAACATGGGCTCCAGAGCCTGGTTCTCAGTCTTCCCTGTACCTGGGCCCCTTCTCAGAGTCATGCTTTTAATATAGAATCCAGAGGATTACACAGGCAATCAGATGTGTGTGTGTGTATGTGTGTGTGTATGTGTGTGTGTGTAAATACACAAACACATTTTTAAGGTTTATTGAGGTTTAATTGACAAAAATTAACTGACAAAAGGTTTATTGCAGCTTAATTGATACTTAAAGTATACAATGTGATGATGTGATATTTGTATACACTACGAAAGGATTTCCACCATCCAGTTAGTTAAGACATCTATCACCTCACATATTTACCCCCCACCCCTTGTTTTGTGAGCACATTTAAATCCTACTCTCTAAGCAAATGTCAGTGATAAAATACCACGTCTAACGTTATACATTAGCTCCTCAGAACTTACTCGTCTCATGACTGGAAGTCAGTACCCCCTCCCCCTTCCCTCCACCCTCCAGCCCCTGGCAACCCCTTTTCTACTCTCTGTTTCTGTGATTTTAACTTTCTTTTTTTTTTTTAGGTTCCATACGTAAGTGGACCATCCAGTATTTGCTTTCTCCGTCTGGCTTATTTCAGGCAACCAATTATGGTGAAATACACTTATCAAAATATTACAAAGCCACACTCTGATATAGCAGTAGGCGTGCTTCTTTATTAACAGACCACAGAATAAGACCTGGTGGTGGGCCGGCCACGTTATTATGATTGTAATTGTAAGGCAGTGATGAGTTTAAATGATAGTCCAAGATACCTGCAGCAAATGTAACGGGATATGAAACTATGTTTGGTTCCAATTGGTGACAAAGTCGTGGGGGCTGGGACCACAGCTGCAGTTTGCTGCCGACCTTCCTAATGGAAGGAAATGCAACTTTACATTTAGATGTTAAGAAAATTAAGTGGCAGTACCTTTCTTCATCCCACTTCACCGACCCCAGGTAAAGAGCCCTGTTGGACTTGGGTAGACTAGGGTGCCAACCCCTGCCCTATGGCTTCCTGTGTGGGACGTTTGTGGGAATTGTTCTTCCTCCCTGTGCCTCGGGTTTCTCATCTATAAAATGGGTGTGAGACTAGTGAGCTCACAGAGCTGCTGGGAAGAGTACACGCGATCAGCCAAATTCAGCACACACTTAACTATTTAAAATTTTATTTTAATGGGCTGAGGACATTTCACATGACATCTGCCCTTTTGACAAACAAGAAGATGGAAGATCTTTTTTTTTTTTTTAAGATTTTATTTATTTATTTGACAGAGAGAGAGATAGCGAGAGCAGGAACACAGGCAGGGAGAGTGGGAGAGGGAGAAGCAGGCCCTCCGCTGAGCAGGGAACCCGACGTGGGGCTCGATCCCAGGACCCTGGGATCAAGACTCGAGCGGAAGGCAGACACTTAACCGACTGAGCCACCCAGGTGTCCCAAAGATGACAGATCTTGACAAGGACGTGGGGAGATCGGAGCCCTTGCACACGGTCGGTGAGCATGCAAAATGGTGCAGCTCCTATGGGAAACAGTTTGGCCTTCCTTGAACAATGAAGAACAACTATGGTATGATCCAGTGATCCCATGTTGGGGTATTTATCCAAAAGAATCAAAATTGGGACCTAGAGGAGATACCAGCACCCCCATGTTCACTGCAGCACCATCGACACCAGCCCAAGATATGGACACCCAACCCAAGTGTCTGTTGACAGATGACAGGATCAAGAAAACCTGGTGAATATATACAATGCAACAGCACTCGGCATTAAAAAAGAAGGAAATTTGCCACGCCGTGAGGATAGGGATGAGCATGCTGAGCATTTATTGAGCGCTGCTCTGTGCTTGGGATATCTTTTGGGGCTGGGACAAAATCCCTGCCCTCATGGGATTTACATTCTAGGAGCAGAGACAGGGAACCAGCAGGCAAATTTATTTACAGTTTCAGGTAATCATGAGGGCTGTGAAGAAAACGGACCAGGTGATATGGCAGAGAACAAACGCCCGGTGCAGGCGACATTAGATCAGGGAATCGGGGGATCCTAACACACACGAATGATATTAATGCATCAGAGGAGAGACTGTATTTGAAGCCCCTGGCACAATGCCCGGCACACAGTATAGGCTCGATGTGTGTTGGCCACAGCGATGCTGCGGCTGCCGGACCCCGCCCCCCCGCCCACTGGCTGGCGTTCCCCGGGGGCGCACACCCCCCGGCTCACCGTGGCTGGGGCTGGCACTGCCCACTGTACTTGGGGCTGGCAGAGCGTGGGCTGACGCGGGCGAGGAGAAGGCCGCGTCCCTGTCAGAACGGGATCTGAGGGAAGCAGTTCTGATTAAAGGAAGAGAAAGTCTTCTCTCTGCTGTGTCTTTCGGGGAGAGCGAAGCAATCAATAGGTCTCGCAGATCAGTGGAGGGTGCTTGGAATCTGGCAGCATGGGGCTTTTTAATTAAAGCTGTAACTGCGAGAAAAGGTAGCTGCCTAATTTCTGCAGCTTGTGTTTCGGTCTGCCTGCCAGAAATTGGACAAGTCAATGCACTTCCAGAGGCTCCAAGGATCTTGACGAGGTGGGCTCTGGTTTTGGGGGAGGGCCAGACCCTGCCAGGACGAACATCTGGATGGCCAAGGTGACAGGTGCCAATTCTGCGGGCAAAGGTGTTGCATTTAGACACCCACAGCAGCTGTGATCAATCAGTTGCACTTTCTGGGAAGGCGATGGCCCTTCCCAGCCAGCAATGATTTGTCTTCCGAAAACACTGGGTCTGTCCAAAGATGTCAACATTACTTTAAACAAGATATTTCCTTTTATTATGAAATAGAGCCTCGCCACTTAAGGTGTGATCCGCGGGCCAGCACCATCGGCATCGGCTGCTGGGACAATGTCAAAAGTGGAGAGTCTCGGGGCCCCTGGGTGGCTTAGACGGTTAAGCATCTACCTTCGGCTCGGGTCATGATCTCAGGGTCCTGGGACGAGCCCTGCATCGGGCTCCTTGCTCAGCAGGAAGCCTGCTTCTCCCTCTCCTACTTCCTCTGCTTGTGTTCCCTCTCTCTCTGTCTCTCTCTATGTCAAAAAAAAAAAAAAAAAAAAAAGTGGAGAGTCTCAAGGCCCTGCCCCAAACCTCCTCTGTCAGAATTGGCATTTTAACAAGATCCTTAGGAAATTCATGGGCACAGTCAAGTGTGAGAAACGCTGAGATTAGGAGACCTGAAGACAAATCAGTCCATTGCCAAGGTGTAAACCTTATTTAAAATCCTGAAAAGAACGTAAAAAAAAAAAAAAGATCACATTCATGAGACAATTTGAACACTTATTAGATATTTGAGGACAATAAGGATTAATTTGGCAGCTGTGATAATGGTTGTGTGGTTGTATTAAAAAACAGCCCTTATCTTTTGGAGTTACACTTGGAAATACTTAAAGATGAAGTGATTTTTTTTTTTTTTTTTTTTTTGGTCTGGCATTTGTTACAAAACGCTGGTGGAGGCAGAGCCTGGGGTACAGATGAGGTAGGACTGGCCATGGGTTGATGGTTCAGAGCCCTGGGTCTGGTATATGAAGATGCATTATACCAGTTTGTTTACTTAGCATATGTTTAAAACGCTCCATAAGAAAAAATGAAGACGATGAAATATAACATTCTGGTCCAAAGCGCATAAAACGTGAAGGTATTATGAAGGAATAATGATGCAAGTGAACATTTGTGCATCTACTACCGGGTCATTTTCAGCCATGCCCTCCTCCCCAGAACCCCTTCCCTCCCACTCTCTTGGTGGGTGTCACCCCCCTGCCCATGGAGTCACCTGGGGAGACTTTACAAAATAACAGTGCTGAGACCCTCCAGACCAGTGAAAACCGAATCCCTGGGAGGGCCGGGGGGTGGGGAATGGGTGGGTGGAGCACAGGTGATTCTAAGATGTACCCCAGTTGAGAATTAATGAGTTTGTCGAACTTTTCATGTAAATCACGAGGTCTTTGTGCTTGAGTTTTTCAATGAACTTACATTTCTGTTGTGCCAAACAGGCCATTTCACGGATGGTTTCTCATGGAGCACTGAGGTGCCGGATAGTTTTGTAAACATAGGTTGCCTTGGGCAGTGGACATTGCACCCCATTTTTGAAAATCATGACAGGAGTTACCACTTACTGAGCACTTTCTACATGCCTGGCACTGTGTTAGATACTTTATATATTTATTGCATTTAATGTGGAGTCAGCATCACTATCCCCATTTACTGATGAACAAACTGAGGCTTAGGGAGACTGTGTGGTTTGCCCAAGGTCACCCAGTTTGGAAAGCCCAGAGTGTCTGACTCACTGCTCTTCACCATCCTGTCATGCTGCTCGTGATGGATCCTGAGGGAAGAGTTTAGGGTCATTCCATAACCCACGAAGAACTGGGACTGAACACGGAATGACCTTTACTACTTAAGTTATGTGCCTTTGGGGCACCTGGGTGGCTCAGTCGGTTAGGGGTCTGACTCTTGGTTTCGGCTCAGGCCATGATCTCTGATCTCAGGGTCATGGGATCGAGCCCATTGTTGGGTTCCATGCTCAGTGCGGAGTCTTCTTGGGACTCTCTCTCTCCCTCTGCCTCCCCCCCACCCGCATGCTCTCTCTCTCTCAAATAAATAAGTCTTAAAAAAGAAGTTATGTGCCTTTGGGAAAAATCACTTTGAGCTGAGTTGTGTGTGTCAAGCGGGGACATTGCTGCTTTGTGTTCTCCAGCTGACAACCTCTTACTCATCTGTCAAAGGTGCATCAATTGTCACAGGGCAGGGAGGCAGGAAATGCCTCTGCATTTCAAGTGACCTCCTGGCTAAACCCGAGTGAGTCACGCCCTCCTCCAGCCTCACAGAGCGCTTGTCCAGGCCTCTAAGAGTAGTTGGCAGGAGCCCTGCCCTCACCGTGCAAGGCACCCGCCTCGTAAGGACAGGCACTGTTTTGTAGTCATCTCGGTGTCTGAAGAACCCAGCCCAGGGGCAGTGCATGTCTGTGACTGGAATGACAGGATGCGGGTTCTGTTCAACCACCAAAGCTTTGGCCAGAGCATATGATCTCATGATCTATATCCCGTGGGCTGAGCTGTGTCAGACAGGCACAGGACAGTGGTTAGGAGCTGGGGCTCTTAATTCACACCGCCTGGGTTCAAATCCCAGCACTGCTACTTCTGAGCAGAAGGACCTGGGGCAGGTTAGTTTACTTCTCTAGGCCTCCTTTCCCTCCTCTGAAAATCGAGTAACAATAGTATTACCTCTCAGGGTTATTGTCCGGATGGGATAGGTTAGTATTTGAAAATTGCTTAGGAATGCCTGGGTGGCTCAGTCGTTAAGTGTCTGCCTTCAGCTCAGGTCATGATCCCAGGGTCCTGGGATTGAGCCCCGCATCGGGCTCCCTGCTCCGCGGGAGGCCTGCTTCTCCCTCTGCCACTCCCCCTGCTTGTGTTCCCTCTCTCGCTGTGTCTCTCTCTGTCAAATAAATAAAATCTTAAAAAAGAAAAGAAAATTGCTTAGACCATGCCTGGTAGTGCTGTGTGGAGCTGGAAGCGAAAGGAAAAATTGGTAATAGTGGCTCCGTCTTTATTGAAAACTTTTTTTTTTTTTTTGGTCTATCATGGTTATTTTTACATTCATTTTGATTTTTTGGGAATATTGCACCAAAATATTAATTAATTTGATGACTGGGTTTTTTGGTGCCTTCTTAAATTTTGCACCCAAAGGCGAGTGCCTTATTGGCCTCACCCTCATCCTGGCTCTGGCCCTTAGGAAGCAACATGCAAGTTTTCATTGTCTGGAGGGGGCTCAGTGTTGTTATATTAAAAAAAATTATATCTATACACTCCTTGTGCAGCACCTACTATGTTGCTGTGGCATTGGGGATGGAACTGTGAATAGATATTCACAACCATGGTTCTTGCCCTCAGGGAGTTGATGGCTTGCTGATGATAATCACCACTAATTGAGCACTTACTGTATGCCAGGCTTGGTGCAAGTGATACTTTCATGAATCCTTACAGTGATTTCTTAGGAGGGAATCATTATATTCATTTTGCAGATGAAGGAACTGGACTTAGAGCAATTGAGCAGCTTGTCTGAGGCCACAAAGTTAAGAGGGGGATACCCCCGTCTTTCAGCCCACACCATCCAAGCTCTTTTTGCCAATGATCTTTGAGTGAGGTGGGAGCTTTGTTCCTACCTTCTGCAAGAACATCTTGGATGCCGAAGAAATCAGTTGGATTTTTTTGGGAATCCCATTGCAGTGTTTCTCTAAATACTCATTTCTCAGGAAGCTCCAAATCTAAAATCGAGTGAAAAGAAAAATGCAAAGTGGGGTATAAACATGTATGGAAGTATGGAGGGATATAACTGAGTGCAGGGATCAACATAGGCAAAGAATTAAGCCTTTAATGTATGAGGGGAAATGGGTTAATGTCTTTATTTTTCAGAGAACTCAAATCAATACGACAAGCCCCGAAAGTGGGTAGAAAGACAAGCAAAGGGGTGTGAACAGACAACTCGAAAAAGATGTAGGAGGGGCCATGGGAGGAGCCTCCCCCTTTCAGAGCCGGTTTGAGCAACCACCAGCCATTGACCCATTCCCTGCTCGGAGAAGAACACGGTGTTGAAAAATCTCTGAGACAAGGCTTTGGTGTGGTCTAAAGGGACTGGAGAAGCAGCCCTGGAGTCTTCTGGCAAAGGGGGAGAGGGAGGAAGGGAGACAGACAGTAGGATGAAGGGAGGCCAGAAGGGGCAGAGGAAAAGGAGCAGGAAGGCCAGCAGACAGCCTCCCGGGCAAAGGGCTTTTGAGGGTATCCGAAATGCAGAACAGCATTTCCCCACAGGGTTTCTGTTAGACAGCTGTCCTCCCACCCCCGGAGGGAGCCTGGTTTCTTCCATCAGCCTGGAAGAGACAGTTCAGGGACCTGGGCCTGGTGGCCGTGGCCACTCCCACCGCAAAGGCTTATGGTGATGTTTGAGATGAAGGTCTGAAGTTCAAGGGCTAGCACACAGGAGGTCAGCCTCCTTCTTTCTAACCAGGGCTCCTCCCTTGGAGAGATAAATTGCTCCTGAGAGGCAATAGCTACAATTTATAAAGGGCTTACTGTGTATCAAGTACTTTCATTTAACCCACAAAAATAGCTACTATTATCATCATCTGTTCTGTAGGTGATGGAAGGAGGTTCAGGGAGCATCTAATAACATATACAAGGTCACATCGCCTGCAAATGTTTGTCCTGTGGGGACCTTGCTGCTGTCTAAGAGGGTGGCCCGTGGCCACTGAGCGTGGCAAATATGCCTAGTGTGAAGAAGGGAGTGAATTTTAAATTTTATTTAACTTCAATTTGCATTTAACTTAAAAACTGAAGCAGTGTATTTTTTTCTGTGGAAACGACTTGATTGTTTTAGTGGGATTCCATTTCACTTTAGCTGTTGAAAATTTAATGTCCAAATTGAAACTGTTGTAAAGTACCCATGGGCATTAGAAGACTTAGTATACATAACAAAAGAATGTAAAACATCTCATTAATAATTTTTTTAAAGTTTATTTATTTATTTGTTTGTTTGTTTGTTTATTTATTTAAGTAATCTATACCCAATGTGGGGCCTGAACTCACAACCCCGAGATCAAGAGTCACATGTTCTTTTGACTGAGCCATGCACGTGCCCCTCCCTTAATAATTTCTTAATATTGATTACATGTTGAAATTATAATATCTTGGATATAGTAAGCCAAGTAAAACATTATTAAAATTAATTTCACCTTTTAATAAAAATTGTTAAATGTGGCCACGAGAAAATTTAAAATAACGTCAGTGGTTTGCAATATAATTCTAGTGGCCCAGCACTGAGCTAGAGTATGAACCCAGGAAGTCTGCATCTGGAGTTCAGGATTTTGACCATTACATGATATCATCTGCCCCTTGAGTGCAGAGGTGTGTCAGGTAGCATACCTATTTGGAGGGTGTAGGCTGGAGCGACCCTGAGAGTTCTCTAGAATTTCACACTCCTCTTCCTCCAGCATCAGCTATCTCCTTCAAGACCTAGTTCTACCCAGAGTGGCCTTTTGGATGTAATGACTTCCTAGCAACCTCAACTAACCAAGAGTTTCTATTGGACAGGAGAACAGAAGCTTCCTTCATTCTCATTCCTCTGTCCCTTCATTCAGCAAAGGCTATTGAATTTCTAATGTGTGCCAGGCCCTGTGAACAAAAAACAGAAAACAGTCCCTGTCCTCAAGGGAGAATCCATTTCCTTGCCTTGTCCAGCTTGTAAGGGCTCCTCGCATTCCTTGGTTGCTGGCTGTGCATCACTTCAACCTCTGCTTCCTTGTCATGTCTCCTTCTCTGTCCCTGGCTACTCTGCCTCCCTCTAAAAGTACCCTTGTAATGCGATTTGGCTCACCCAGACAATCTTCTCATCTCCAAATCCTTATTTAATCACATCTGCAACATTCGCAACCTCCCTTTTGCTATGAAAGGTAACATATTCACCGGTTCCAAGGATCAGGATGTGGACATCTTTGAAGGAGGGCATTATTCTGTCTACCACAGGGGCTAAAATTTGAGATAAGATGACCAGGGAGGGACTCATTGAGATGACATTTGAGTAAAGGCCTGAGGGAGTAAGGGAGTATACAGATACCTGGTGAAAGAGCCTTCTGGACAGAGAAAAAAGCATGTGCAAAGGTCCTGAGGTGGAAGTATGGCTGGTATGTTTGAAGATGAGCAGAGAAGCCAGCATGTCTGGAGCAGAGAGATCTAGGGGCAGAATGGTAGGAAATGACATCAGAGAGGTAATATGGAGTGGGCATGGGAGGGGAGAGATAGATCATGAAGGGCCTTGTAGATGATTTTAAGAAATGTATCTTATAGGGTCACCTGGGCGGCTCAGTTGGTTAAGTGCCTAACTCTTTTTTTTTTTTTTTAAAGATTTATTTATTCATTTGAGAGAGCGAGAATGAGAGAGAGTACATGAGAGGGGGCAGGGTCAGAGGGAGAAGCAGGCTCCTCGCCGATCAGGGAGCCCGATGCGGGACCCGATCCCGGGACTCCAGGATCATGACCTGAGCCGAAGGCAGTTGCCTAACCAACTGAGCCACCCAGGCGCCCAAGCTCCTAACTCTTGATTTCGGCTCAGGTCATGATCTCAGGGTCCTGGGATGGAGCCCCACGGGGGCTCTGTGCTTAGTTGGGAGTCTGCTTGAGATTCTCTCTCTCCCTCCTCTGCCCACCCCCGCTGTGTGCATGCTCTCTCTCTCAAATAAATAAATAAATAAATCTTTAAAAAAAATGTATCTTATATTCTGAATGAGATGGGAAGACTTTAGAGGCTTCTTCTAAGTACATATTCAATAATTAACTGTGCAAAAAATCTAAAACCGAGTGAAAAGAAAAATGCAAAGTGGGGTATAAACACGTAAAAGGGCATATGGAAATATGGAGGGATATAACTGAGTGCAGGGATCAGCATAGGCAAAGAACTAAGCCTTTAATGTATGAGGGGAAACGGGTTAATGTCTATTTTACAGAGAACTCAAACAAATCAATAAGACAAGCCCTGAAAGTGGGTAGAAAGACAAGCAAAAGGGTGTGAACAGACAACTCAAAAAAGATGAAAAGCAATTAGCTGGGCACATGGGAAAATGATCAGCCTAACCAGTAATCAAAGAAATGCAAATTAGAACCACAAACGGGCTACATTTCCATCTTGTGAGGATTTTAAGGACGATAATGCCGGCTTTGGCCATCCTGGCGTGAGGTAGACTCAGGAATGCTGGCTGCAGGGAGTCTGACCCTTTTGGGCAACCCTTTGACGCTGGCTCTCAAGACCTTAAACATGGGCATTCTGGTTGGCAGAAGGAAACCAAGGCTTGTAATCTAGCCCAAGGACATAATTCTAAATCCGGAGACAACTTTGTTCATGGCAGCCAAACAACAGAGACAACCAAACTGTAAACAATAGATTAAATAGGCCACGGGGGTCATTCCTTTGATTTTGTTTTTTTTAAAGATTTTATTTATTTATTTGACAGAGAGAGAGGCAGGGAGAGAGGGAGCACAAGCAAGGGGAGCAGCAGAGGGAGAAGCAGGCCTCCTGCAGAGCAGGGAGCCCGATGCGGGGCTCGATCCCAGGACCCTGGGATCATGACCTGAGCTGAAGGCAGATGCTTAACGACTGAGCCACCCAGGCGCCACCTCCTTTGATATTTTTGTCAAGTAATATTAATTAAATGCTAGCCATGTGCCAAGCAATTTCTAGGTGCTAGGAATACAGCCACGAAAAAAACACCCCAACTCCCTGGACCCCATGGGACTCATTCTAGTGAAGGAGAAAGAACATTAAAAAGCAAAGATGTGAACGTGTTACATGCCGAGGAAGAACAAAGCAGGGATATGTGGCAGGGAGTGATGGAGATTTGTAGGGTGAATAACTGTCCCAGTTTGCTGGGGATGGGCCCGGGGTCGGGGGGAGGTTCCCAGCATACAGGATTTTCAGTTTTATTATTTATTTATTTATTTATTTATTTATTTATTTATTTATTTATTTATTTATTTATTTATTTATTTATTTATTTAATATTTATTAAGTAGGCTCCACGCCCCGGCCTGGAGCCCAGTGCAGGGGCTGGAACTCACAACCCTGAGATCAAGACTTGAGCTGAGATCAAGAGTCAGACGCTCAACCAGCTGAGCCATCCAGGTGCCCCAGAATTTTCAGTTTTAAAACTGGGACGGTCCTCGGGCAACTAGGATAAGTTGGTCAACCGAAGAAGGGCAACTTTCTGATGGGCTGGTCAGGGCCTTTCTGAGGAGGTGGCGTTTGACTCAGGACCAAATGAAGCAAGGGAGGGAACTATGGGCATGCTAGCAAAGTAGCTTTCTAGGCAGAGAGAACAGTATGTACAAAGGCCCTGAGGCAGGAGTGTTCTTGGGGGTGTTTGAAGGACTAAAAGAAGGTCAGGGTGTCTGAAGCATAGCGCCAGGGAAGAGAGTGGTAGGAGATAGGTTGCAGAGGAGGAGGGAGGAGCTGGCTTCTGACCCTTGTAGGAAAGGGAAAGAACTTTGGATTTTATTTTAAGCCCAGTCAGGGAAATGAAATGGTATAATTTATGATTTTAGAAAGATCCCTTTGGCGGTTGTGTGAAGAAAGGAATGTTGGTGAGTGTGGGGTGGGGGGCAGGGTGGACTCAGGTAGACCTGATGGGAGGTGGTTATAATCAAGGGCAGTGGTCTTGAACTCAAGCATGCGTCAGAATCACCTTCAGGGCTTGTTAAACACAACTTCTGGCCCTGCCCGTGGAGACAGCATTTCTCACAAGACGCTGAGGTTGCTGGCCCGGATCACTCCGAGTAGCTACCACTTCGAGCGGCAAAGAGCCAGGAGAGAGGTGATGGTGACTTGCACTAAGGTGGTATCAGTGCTGAAGTCAAGTCTTGTCTGAGATGTGTTTTTTATTTTTATTTTTTGAAAGATTTTATTTATTATTTGACAGAGAGCGAGAGAGCATGAGAGAGTGAGCACGAGCAGGGCAGGATGCCGCTGAGGGAGAGAGAGAAGCAGACTCCCCACTGAGCCGGGACCCTGATGCGGGGCTCGATCCCAGGACCCCAGGATCGTGACCTGAGCTGAAGGCAGACGCTTAATCGACTGAGCCAGCCAGGTTCTCCTGGGATGTGTTTTGGGAAGTGAAACTGTGAGTCCCATTTTGGTTCTCTTGTAACCTGATTCCACTAAGGAGAATGTCTTGGTTTGATACCAGTATGTCTCTCACGCTGTTCTGCCCCCTCCCTTTTATTTTAGGAAAGAGAGAGCAGGCCCCCTGGCACAGAGTTCTCAGTAGAGAACTCTACTTAAAATCTGATTTGGGGGGACGTCTTTATTGTATTTTTTTATGGTTGTCCACAACTTATGACAAACGATATTGGTTTTCCTTTTACAAGAGTGTTACAAAGCTTCCATTTTCAATAAATGTACTCAGTTTTTTTAGAAGCGAGAGTTGCTTTTTTATAAATCTGTGAAGTAAGTAATAGTGTGGGTAAAACTCAGACATTGTGCAACTATAGTTGGTGGCCCTTGAGGGACTGAAGTTGGGGAAATGCTGTCCTAAGCCTTAGTTCCCTTGGGTTGTGCAAGCTCAGCACTTGATGTCATTGCGCCCTTCATAAACCCATGAGTTCCCCACCGTCTCTAGGCCACAATCTAGTAGCCCACTGTACCTCACCATCTCCCTTTTTCTGCTGTTAATGCCTTTATTTATTCAACCCACATTTATTGAGTACCTACTAGCTTCTCAGTCCAAGTCTCAACCTCAGTTTGCGACATCCCCTGGGGAAGCATTTTATGAGTGATTTTGGTTCCTGGAAAGAACTTTCCCAACAATTGGTTAAATAAAACTATAAAACGAATGTGTACATATGTCCCTGATAAAGTTTCTCTCTTACACTTGTGTATGTGCTTCTCTGGAGGGAGAGAAAGTAAGAGATGGGTTTGGCATGCTGGGAATTACACTCCCCCCTCTACTGACACCCAAAGAGGGTGAATGTCACCTGTCATGTGTGTCCTGGGGAAAACAAACTTTGAAAACAGGCATAGGTTATGGCGCATCACCAGAAGATTTTATTTTTTTTAGATTTTTAAAAAAAATTTATTTATTTGACAGAGAGACACAGTGAGAGAGGGAACACAAGCAGGGGGAGTGGGAGAGGGAGAAGCAAGCTCTCCCTGAGCAGGAAGCCCAATGTGGGGCTCAATCCCAGGACCCTGGGATCATGACCTGAGCCAAAGGCAGATACTTAACGACTGAGCCACCCAGGCACCCCGATTTTATTTTTTTTTTAAAGATTTTATTTATTTATTTGAGAGAGAGAGAGAGTTTACGAGCTGGGGGAGGGAGAGGGACAAGCAGATTCCCTGCCGAACAGGGAGCCCGATGCGGGGCTCCATCCCAGGACCCTGGGATCATGACCTGAGCCAAAGGCAGATGCTTAACCAACTGAGCCACCCAGGCGCCCCCATCAGAAGATTTTAAACCAAAGATTGTAAAATCGGATTTGGGTGTCCGAATGTTTTGGCAGTTGAGGGAATGGAGAGAAGACTCTGGGTAGAGGGTTAGGAGTTCTCTTTGGCCAGGTTGTGTAAACATTCTGGGCCTAAATGTCTCTTGGTTCAAGAAGGTAGATTATATTTTCTCTTGCAACATACAAGAATTCATAAAATAAAGTGACACCAAATCACAGGAATGTCGGTGGATGGATTCTCACTAAATGGAAAGCGTGTGTCTGAGAGTGGTCTGAGCTAGGACATAGACCCTGAGGCAGGTGTGGAGGACCTTGGGGGACACTCGAGGCTGAAGGCAGTCGCTCTCCCAGGCTGCTGATCTGGAGGAGCGAGGAGAGGACGTGTGACTGCTGGGGAAGATACAGTCTGGCCAGAGCAGTCAAAGAATCATGTTAAGGATGACCCCACAGTTAAGGCTGTAAGGACCCTCCCAGCAAACTGATGTAAAATCAAGCTGTGCTGGGTGGAGTGGCTGCAGGGATTTATTTAGTGATGATTAATAAGGTGAATTTCACCTTAGTTCGCAAGGGTGCAATTAAACATGCAAATGCTATAACAAAGTTAAAAGTTCTTACACATGTAACGATTCTATCTAAGGATCAAATATGATGATGGTAGACGTGAAAATACTTCATGGGCTACGGAGCCCTTCGTTACAACTCCTGCTTGCTGGTGCATCTCTGTAGGGTAGCCTGGGTACCCCCCCTCCAGACTCTCAGTCCAGTGCTCGCTCTTCTACTGCATGGCCTTGTTTCCCACCAGCCCCAGGCAAGGGGCTGACTGTCCTGCAGGGCAGTGCGAAAAGAACATCATAGACATATGTCTCTTTTCCAGTCACCTGTGCTTCCTTCCTGGGCCTTCCTTTCCTGGTCACCATGGCAACTGTTAGGCATCCAGGTATGAGTATCAGCCTGGCTCTGGGGTCTGAAACTCTCCCACTTGCCCCTAGCTCACTTCTGGGTCCAGATCATGATTTCTGGCTGCTCTGAACCAAGGAGTTTGAGAAAATAAGAGTCCATGGCAAAAAAGGGTCTGACGTCATGGTTCAGAACGCTGGCTTGTGTTGTTGGGGGGACCTGGTTCAAATCCTGGCTCTGTCACTTGCTAGTTGTGGGATCTTGGGAAAGCCCCTGTGTCAGTCTGGGTTCTCCAAGGGGCAGACATGGCTCTGGGAAGCAACGTGCAAGGACCTGATTAGGTGAAACACTTGGTCGAAGAAGTCCCAAGTCTGACTCTGAGCTAAGGGGAGAAGGTTGGGTGGCGCGCGTCTGGGCAGTGCAGCTTAAAAAAGGTTAAGGGGTCCCACGCCAGAGGAGTCCTGTGTTTTCTAGGACTGGGCCTGCCTTAGTTTCCCTGCTGCCCTCTATCCCTGATGGATTTCAGTTCCAGCAGGTGCACTGTCATGGTTCCTGTACCCCCAACCTCTCACAAGACTGGCTACCATTAAATGAGACAAAGCATGAGAAGCACCTCCTAGGAGATCCAGCATAGAGTGAGCACTCAACGCATTGTAGCTCTTATTATTACAAGTTTCCTTTTTCTTTTGTTACCAAGCGTCCCCTAGATCAGAGGCTGCTAATTCAGATTCCCTGTAAATGAGTAGGCCAGATCTAACACTGTAGGGAGTGGTGGGGCTGTGGTAAATTAAGGAGTACATGCCCCACTTAAAACATTTTGAAAAGTAACCTGATCCAGCCAAAGCAGACACATCTGTGGGCTGAATTTGGTCTCTGGCCAATTTAAATTTAAAACCTCTGCCTTATACGCACAACGTCGTCTGTAACAATTTCTGAGATTCTGCATTTGCAAAAGCTAGGAGGTCAATTTAATTAAAAGAAAACAAAAATAGTTGGGTTGTTTTTCTTTTTTTCTCCCCCTATTGCTGACTAATTTACAGTGTATTTGACCAAATGGAGAAATCCGACTGGTTGATTATGGTTTTCTTTTCTTTTTTCTCTCTTTTTTTTAAAGGTTTTATTTATTTATTTGACAGAGAGAGAGGGAACACAAGGAGGGGGAGTTGGAGAGGGAGAAGCAGGCCTCCCACGGAGCAGGGAACCCGATGTGGGGCTCAGTCCCAGGACCCTGGGATCATGACCCAAGCCGAAGGCAGATGCTTGATGACTGAGCCACCCAGGCGCCCCTGATTGTGGTTTTCTACAGAGCATCAGTGTTGGCTTGTCTGAGAGGTTTAGAACATGGATGTGGGATATGAATGGCATGATTTGGGGTCTTGGCTCTCCCAGTTTCTGGCTATGGGATCTTGGGCAATTTGTGCCATCTCTCTGGAGCTTAGTCTGTCTACCTGTAAAATGGGGATAATTATGATATTCCCCCATGGGGTTTCTATGAGGATTAGTACCTGGAAGCTTAGAACGGTGCCCGGACCAAGTAAGGCTGAAGAAGTGTTGATATTATTCTGAGGTTGGGTGAGGGAAAGAGAACGTGGCTTTTCTTCATCGTTTTATTTCACACAAGACTAAAACTTAATGGTCAGGATAACACCCAAATAGGAATGAGTTTCTCCTACCCTGGTGATGTGATCATATATAATAATGTCACTTACATAAGCTTCTCTACCTCCCTGGTAAAGCCACCCACACTCTGCTCCGGTGTATGCCATGAAAGAAATTTTCTCTCACAGGGAAAGAGACACCCAATTTCATACTAATTATCCCTGGAAAGCTGGGACCAATAGGGGGTGCTGGAAAAGGTGGATTTGTCGGTGAGCTGAGGGAGAAAGCCTTGAGAAGCAGTGAGTCAGGCCTGGAGACCTCAGAGGGGCCGGTGGGATCACAGAGTCGGAGGTGAACTGTGGCCTTCCCCAGATGAGGCGGGCTAGGCCTAGCCTCAGAGGAAAATCGTGCGTGAGCCAGCAGCCCTCGGCAGATAAACGCTGATCTGCCGGTTCCTTTCTTGGTGCTTTCAAATCTGAAACATGTTCTGCATGTGACTCAGGCTCATTGTGGCAAAATGTAGAAAATAGAGGGGAGCAAAATAGAAGTGTTAAAGTCAGAGCTTGTTCAGCCCTAAGTGTGGGAAATCAATCTCAAACTGGTGCAGGTGATTCAAGAGAACGTATTGGTCCCTAGGACAGGGATGTTCCAGGGACGAACCAGGCAGGGCTCTAACCAGGGCTCAAAGACCTCAGAAAGGATGCTGTCTTGCAGAAGAGGCCTAAAAGTAAACACGATTAACCCCAGACTAATTCCTAGCGTTTGAACCACCCTACTAGAAAGGAGAAGTCTCAGGGATGGATGCATGGGTATCACATGTGCCAATCCCTGGGGCTACAAATAAATGGTCAGATTGGACGGGTTCATGAGCCAATGGCCTGAGGAGGTGGAACCAAGGCAAGTCTCCCTTGAAATACAGGAATAGGTTTCCCACAGGAAGGAGGGTTTCTGTTCCAGAAGGAAGAGGAGAATTTATTTATTTGAGAAAGAGAGAGAGGGACAGTGCATGCATGAGTGGGGGGGAGGGGCAGAGGGAGAGAGAGAAGCAATCTCCCCACTGAGCAGGGAGCCCAACGTGGGGCTCAATCCCAGGATCCCGAGATCATGACTGGAGCCGAAGGCAGACACTTAACCGACTGAACTACCCAGGTGCCCCAGCAAGTACAAATTTCTAATACTC